TTAAATACTTTCTTTTGAAACCATTTCCATTATAGAAAATGTTTGGATGGGGGCATTTTGATGCATACACTGTTTTGAATCACTCTTTTCCATTTGTTATATTGATAAGTACTTTGCATAATTCTGCATACAGTTTTGATGAGTCTCCTTTGGCATGTCACCGACTAATAGAATTCTTGTCTAATTTCGAGATTTTTCCATTTCAATCTAGGGGCTGCTTCTCTCGGTGTATTCCAAAAAAGGAGCCCGAGGAAAGCAGACCTGAAGAGTGAGCCTTGCGCTCCCCTTGAAGCGTAGGACCATTCGGTAATGTTCCCAAGCGAGCGGGGAGCTAAGCAGTAGCCATTCTGGGTCTACTGGTGCTACCTGCTTTGATCAATGTGCCAAGACTTTGACAGGATACAAATAACTGGTGCTCTCTTGTGGTATTTTGTGGGGATTCTATCGCTGTAGGATTCCTATTCAAGATCACTGCAGGGTTGGATACATTATACGTTAAATCTCTTTTTGCCCCTTCATTCTATCTAACACTATATCTATTGAAATGTCCAATGCAGTTAAACCTTTTCGTGCACATTAAGTCCTATGAGTTGTATTTTACATCTATCTTCTAAAATTAAACAGCATAGAAACTAAATTAGGTTAATTTTTATTGTTTAAAATTTTGAACGACGAGAATATTTAAATTTTAGTAATTTATGTAACTTTTCGGTATGGTGTACACAGGTGTGCTGGAGTTGTTTATGTGTTGGAATAATGTTTCCTATATCTTGTTCTCACTGTGATTTGATCTGTTCAGAGACTTTGTACGAAGATGAGTTCGGGAAAATGGGGTTCGAATCCTTCCAGTAGTGGTCCTTCTGGTCCATCATTTAAGGGGAAAGGGGTCTCAAATGTCTCTAGCCCTGCTGTTGAACAATTAAGTCATGGAGTGTCAGATTTGAATTTGGGTTCTACACAAGATGATGGGTGGGGGGTGGTGTATGGAAAGAAGTCAAAAAACAGGACTGGAAGTAGTGCTCCAAAACAATGGGGTCCTAAGAATTCCAATCCTCCTCACAGGGCATGGGACAATCCAGATACTGTGCAAAAGTTGGGATTGCGAAATTCTGGTGGATCTGGCCAGACCCAGCCTGCACTTCCTTCTGATTCTAGAAGATCTATGGGCAGAGGAAATGGTAAACTCCAATCATCTAACCTATGTCCTGACACTAACTACGTTGCGACACCTGCAGTAATTCCTCCTCCTCTAAAGAATGGGTGGGAATGGTCTACCAGAACTTCTAATCAGTCCTCAGAAGATGGACAAAGATTTAATCCTGGGGATGCTCTGGCTGCTGATGTTGACGACGAGGAAGAGGAAGAGGAGTTGTCAGATGTGGATGATGACACTGACGAGGGGCTTCTCAGTGATGACTTCGATTCAGATGAAAGCCAAAAGAGTCACGAAACGCGGAAGAAGAACAGATGGTTTAAGGAACTTTTTGATTGTCTTGATACTTTGACTGTTGAGCAGATCAATGAACCAGAAAGACAATGGCACTGCCCAGCTTGCAAAGGAGGTCCTGGGGCTATAGATTGGTATCGTGGCTTGCAGCCCCTTATTTCTCATGCGAGAACTAAAGGATCCAAAAGGATGAAGCTTCATAGAGAACTTGCTGAGCTTTTGGATGAGGAGTTGAAGAGAAGGGGAACTTCAGTAGTAACGGCTGGTGAAACTTTTGGGAAATGGAAAGGTCTGAAAGAAATAGCTGATAAAGAGATAGTATGGCCTCCTATGGTGATCATCATGAATACCAGGCTTGAAAAAGATGATAAGGATCAGGTATGATGACATGTTAGCCTCCATTTGGATACAATCTATAAATTGGTCTATAAATTAAGTGAAGTCAAATATTAATTTAAAAATGTTGTGGGACTCGCTACTATTCGTCTTAGTATTCCTACTAATGAACCATTTATAAATTTTCCAAATGTAGGCTTGATGTTATTATTATGATTATGTATGTATATATGTTATGTACGAAATTATTTACACTAGAACTCGTGTTATTATGAACTGCAATAATCAGTGGGCTGGCATGGGAAATCAAGAGCTTCTCGACTATTTCAGTCCATATGCTGCAGTGAAGGCTCGACATTCATATGGTCCACAGGGGCATCGGGGCATAAGCGTTCTGATTTTTGAGGCTTCAGCAGTGGGATATGCAGAGGCTGAGCGATTAAGCAAACATTTTGAAGATAATGGTAGAGATAAGAAGGGTTGGGAGCAGAATAGGGTTCCTTTCTATCCCGGTGGACAACGTCAACTCTATGGCTACATGGCAGAGATGCGAGACTTGGACAAGTTTAACTACCATTGTCATGGTTCTCTCTCTCTCTCTTTATATATGTATAATATATATTATGTCATTCATTTATATGTTTAGACCTTGTTTGGGCCCAATTATTTCCATTAGAATATATTTTTCAACAGTGATTTGACTTCGTTTTAACCACACATTTTTCATTAAAATAATATTACACTTAAATCCAAAACTTTTCTTTATTTTTTAACCACACATTTCCCATCATTACACTATTCAAAAATGCATTTTTTTTTGGCAAGAATGGGGCTCAAACAAGGGCTTAGTTTGATTTTAACATAACTGTATATATACATGTATACCCTCCACTCAAGTTGTCTATCCAGGTATGGGACAAGTGAATCTCTTAAAAAATTCTTTAGTTTTGATTTTAATTTATAGCTTAACATGCTGAAAAATGCTTAGGAAAATCCAAGCTGAAGTATGAAATGAGATCCTATCAAGAAATGGTTGTGAATCAAATGAAGCAGATGAGTGAAGATAACCAACAGCTGATGTGGTTTAAGAATAAAGTTGCCAAAGAACAGAGAAACAATAAAGCTCTTGAAGAGTCTTTTGGTTTGATATCTGAAAAGCTGAGAAAGACGATGGAAGAAAACCGGATTGTAAGACTGAGGACCAAAATGCATCACGAGCAACACAAAGAAGAGGTATGTTTGGTATTTTCTATAGATATCAAAGCAAAAAGCTGATTTTTAATTGTTGCAAATAAGATAAAGTATTGAGTAATTTCTAGGGATTGGAGCTCCCAATCTACTTTCAGTTGGCTGTGAATGATCATGTTCTTTGAGGTTTGTTAAAAAAAGCCGGAATCAACTCATGTATCAGGAACTGATGAATTGAAAAACCTTGAGCTTTGTTCAACTACACTCCAGAATCAGTTTTTTCACAAGATCCAGAATATTAAAGTTTTGTATATTCATCGAATGTAAAGGCTGAAGGGATCTCTGTTATTGACGCAATAATTATTTTATTTTTTTATCAGATGGATTACCAAGAGCAATTCTTCAAAGATCAGATCAAGCAATTATATGATGCCAGAAATGTGAAGGAGGAGACTTTTGAGAAGATTCAGCAGGATCAGCGCGTGAAGGTTACAGAGACTGTAGTAAACCTGTCGTCAATTGGGGATCGCCAAAGCAGGTAATAGCTTTTGACATCCTTTGGTCTCATAAGCAATTCTTTTTCAATTGCAATCCATCAGTCTTGGTGTAAGGTTTAGCATGGAATTCCATTTATTGAGATTATGGACGTGTTTGATTGCAAGCATGAAACTTACATGAAAAGAAAATAAGTTGTTGCCTAGAACTTATTTGCATGAAAATTGTTAATTAAATGTGTTTGATTTGCTTAATTTTCAATTTAGAAAATGTTGTACTTTTCCATCTTTTGGTGTTCGATAGCCAGTATTTTACATGAAAATAGTCATTTTTTTGGGAACTTGTTAGAACAGAGAGTAAAATTGAGTATTTGGGAAGCGTAAATTGCCTTGAAAATAAAAACCTACTTCCACATAAAGAAAATGCTTTCCTATTTTTGAGGAAACATGACCACGTGACCAACTTTTGGAAGATATTTTCCATGGAAAAAATATCAATCAAACACCCGAAAAATAGGAATTTGGGTGGAAAAGGGATTTTCCATGAAAAATATAGTCAATTAAACACATCCTAAGTGATATCAAAATACATTTAGGAAGGGCACATTGGAGCTTGCCTTAAACAGCTCTGGGGGTTTTTTCTAATCTGAAGTTACGAATAAATAATTATTTGCTTGTGTGCTTGCCAAATTATACAGAGAGATTCTTCGTTTTATGAAAAAAAATACTATTTCTCATATTAGCAATATTTTTACAGAAAATAAAAACTCCGATTTTTGTCGTGAAACCTTACATGTTTATTAATATTTAGGAGAGGGATTTCAAATTACAGTATTGATAGGCAGTAGCAATTTTAGGACTCTTAAATTAATTTATTGATCATTGCAGTGGCTCTGTTTGGATCTCTTGTTATGTTATGTTGTTACTGTTTTTGCTACAAATCTGGCTTTAGTAGGTTTTATTTTACTGTTCTTACTATTTTGATGATTTCATTTCAGGGAGGAGAAAATTGAAAAATTTATCCGGCTACAGGACGAAGAAATGGAAGAATATGTTGCTGAGAGGGAAAAATTGATGAAAGTTCACGAGGAGCGGATGGTTTCTTTGAGGCGTAAGCACTTGGAAGAAGAGGTTGCCCTTGAGAAGGAATTTGATGAAGAATTCAATAGGCTGATGGAAAAATACACCCCACATGATTCAAAGCAGCTTGGAAACCAAGAAATTTAGCCTGGTGGCCTTGTTATGGTTTAAATAGAAGTTTTACCGTTCTCGCTTAGAAATACCCAAATAGATCGCAATGGCGAATTTGGCACCTGTTTTTGTTTGCAAATGGAACGTCTGAATTTGACCCCTCTTTGTTTTTAATTTATCAAGGGCAAGTTTACTATAATGTTTTGTTAATTATGAGCCAATTTAATAGTATATTATCCTTCCGAACGTTGTTATAGCAAATTTAGTGCTCGCTAGTGTCTTGCTTGTGTTGAAACGGGTTTTGTTGGTTGGTTATTCTCTTTTGGATTTGACTTTTGTATTGGCAGCAAATGATCTGGGATTCCTTGCTATTTGTGTTAAAAATCTTTTCCCGGGGTACGCTCCAATCTATGTATGCTTTGGCTATCTAATGAAGTATTGTGTTCACTCTAAAATGAATTACAAATTTCAGGAAGGTGGTCCAATTGGTCTTAGTGATATTGAGAAGAGAAGAATGGATGTGCATTTAACAGACGAGGAACTGAAGGAGAGCAGAAAGAAATGGACTCCCCCACCTTCTAAGGCTGAACGAGGTGTTCTTTACAAGGTATGAGGAATGTTCATTGCTATACACATTATTCCAAAGTTTGTAGTAGCCAATTCATCAAACCGGGATTTTCTTTATTTTCAATACATAAAGAGCGTTCAAGCAGCTTCAAAGGGATGTGTTACCGATGAATAGTAGAAATGCGTTGGTAGGAAGGCATAGAGAAACACCAACTGTAGTACTTGGGGCGCATATTTCTTGCGGCTGATTAGAGTAACCGAGTTTATGCTTGATTTTCCATTACGATTAAATTCACGATATCCTACTCTTAGAATTCGTAGTTGCATGTCTAGTCTTTTCCCATCCTTCATTTGGCTGTTGATTGAATTATATGGGAATTTCTTTGAATATTGTGGTGTTAAACAGATTTTTCTGAGCAATTTTTTCTTTTCTTTTTTCTTTCCCCCTTCTTTTTCATTTTTTTATGCCTTTTTTTTTTTTATTGCTCATTCATTGAAACTCATTTTTTTCCAATTCATTTTTTTAATCGTATATTCTCAATAAAATAATTTTATAAATAAGTTCAAATTTTTGTTTCTAATTTTTAACAACACATTATTTCAAAAAAATCATTTTTTATAAATTTATTTTCAAAAGGCGAGACTCAACACATAGCTTGTTTGTTGCACCATAGTTAGGGATGGCAATCGGGTTCGTCGGCTCGGGCCACCCGTGACTTGGCTCAAAAAAAAAAATTTATCCCGTCTAGCTCGAGGCTTGGACCGAGCCCTATTTTGGGTTGCTGGGCAAAGCACGAACCAGCCCAAGTGGCTTGCTGGTTCAGGCTCACAAGCCTATATATATATATATATTAAAGGTAGCAAATAAAATTAAGGCAGCAAGCAGTAACCGACTGCATTAGAAAAAGGCAGCTTCCTCAGCTCAGAAAGACCCAAGCCTAATTTTTTTGTCGAGCTTTTGCTTAGCTCAGTTTGAGCTCGAAAAAAAGCTCGATCATTTTATTCGAGCTAAACTCGAGCCTCAAATTTCGGTTCACGAACCAACTCAACTCGGCTCATTGGCATCCCTAACCAAGGCCAAAATCAACTTCCCAATTGTAAGAAATTATTTAAAAAAATGGCAGTGACAATTACTTATCCTTCACTTCTATCCAATATGAGGTTTCCCTAAAACTTTCCAATGAATTGGAATGAAAAGATCCCTAATTTTCTTCTTTTGAACAACACTCGTTTTGGATATGTAAACTTTCATAGCTAGCAAAATCGTAAAGAATAAGATAGTGTGTGAAATGTGGGGTCTTTTCCCCTTTTCAATTCAATACAACATGAATATGAATGATTTTTCAAAAATGGAAATGAATTGAAGATGAAACAGAAAGATAATTGGTCTATGAAACAAATTGAGCCCATTGGTTGGCTAAATAATGTATTGGACAGCAGCTAAAAGTATTGAATGCAAGAAGTTAATAGGGATGCAGATAAAAAAAAAAAAAAAAAAGGTTAAACTCCAACCTTGAGGGCCTCCACCGCCCCGCTCCTAGAGCTTTGTGAGGGAGATAAATCGCGGGATGTGCCGCAATAGGCCAAGGAACAAGAGCTGCTTGTACACTGCGCCTACAATGAGTCCAATTCCATGTCTCAGAAATCGAACCCCCACATTGCGGCTGTCAGCAAGACGTGAAATAACCTCACTCTTGTCATTTTCACCACTGGGCTATACCCCGGGGGCGGGATGCAGAAAAAAGAGAGTATTGAGTGATTGTCCGATTCATATTTGGTAAGTTGAATCGGACACTTAATATGATTCAAGATGAGAATTTCTTTTGTAAAATTTGTTAATTATTCAAACCAATATATTAAATACGCAATTGAAGCTCATTTGTATAGAGTCGTTCTATAGAGCTGCTTCTTTTTTGTTAGAAGAGTTTTCGGATGAATCTACATTATGCTAGTTTTCTTTAAAAACGCTTAGGGCCTGTTTGAAAGCACCATTTTCCATGGAACCACCAAATTTGTGTTTTATGATACACTAAATTTTTCATGGAATTACTTTCCTACTTTTTCCTCACGTGATGGCGTTTTCTTGGTTTTGAAGGAATTCCAATTCTTTTGGTTTTGGTGAGAATTGGATTTTTTAGGAATAACTTCTTTTTTTTTTTTTTTTTTTGTGCAATGAAAACAAATTCTATCTACAATCATAAAAAAAATTTCTCTATTTAATTGACAATTTTTATGGAAAACAAAGCCAAACGAATACCAAGAGATCCAAATTTCAACATTTTTGAAGTGAAAAATTATATTAATCAAACACATTTAATTGACAATTTCCAATAAAACAAATTCTAAGCAATTCACTTTTCTAGAATTCGTTTTCTTTCCACTCAAATTTCATTCTTTCAATCAAATGGACCTTTATAGTCAGACAAAACAGTTTTATAAAATAATTCAAACATGTTCAAAGTCGTTTTTGACTAGCGTTGTTATAGCAAATTTAGTGCTCTTATAACTTAGTGAATAAGTCTATTACTATTTGCTTACTTTGTCAAGCAAACGTACCTAATAAATCATTTTTCATTATTTAAAAACTTTTTTTTCTTAAATAATTAATTTAAATTATCAAACTGAACAAAATTTATAGGGCTGTTATTCAAATCTCCAATATTTTATTTGTAAAATCCAAGTGCTCGTATCGTGTGCTGGCAGTCTTCTCAAAGACACATAAACAAAGCTTTAACAAGACTGAAACTGCAACCATTAAATTATAGTTTATGTAGAAAAATATGAACAAACAAAAACTGCACTTGGTAAATTAAAAACAAATAAAGTGGAAGATCAATTTGCTATACATTCCCATTCAACATTCCCATGGCAGGAGGAATAAACAAGAGGCCTTGGTTGCTACGTGTATAAGGAAATAGGTAATACCAAAGGGAGGAAAAGGAAAGAAAAAATGTCCACCACACAATGTCTTGAAGTAGACATAATGGAACACTTAGAAAATGTATCCCTAGCATAATAAATTTCCATTGTCAAAAGCATGGGCAGATTCTGAAAATTTTTGGCGCACAGGCTAAAATTTAAAAGTCAATATAATAAATTTATATATTATATTAAAGTCAAATTCATTTAATTTGAAGCTATTCCCGACGAGGTTTTAAAACATAAAATTCTTCTACCATAGAATCTATATCTATCTTTTGAGCAAGTTCTCGTTCGATGAAGAGTGTCATACAATCAGCATGAAGTTATCCTCCATTTGTTACGAAGATCCATCTTCACATGTTTCATTGTTGAAAATATTCGCTCAGTAGTCGCGATAGAAATAGGTAAAGTCAGTACAAGACGAATCAGTCTAGTAACCATAATATAAATCTCCGATCTTCTACTCTCAGTTAACTGTCAATATAACTCAACAAGTGTAGATACTTGAAATCGAGATTCAATCTCTCTAGCTCATAGTGTCGCAACTCATATTCCAAAGTACGAATATCTTGGCTTGAAAAATTTTTAGGATAGAATTTCTCAGCAAGTGCACAAATATCGAGACTGTTAAATGATGCAAATGAATCTCTAGAATCCAAAGCTGCACTGAGTGTGAGAAGTTCAACTGATGTATCATTGAATCTTGTATTTAATTCCATCAATATGTAATCTATTGCTCCATTGAAAACATCAGAGTTATAATGATGCTTTATTGTAATTGGATCACTAGAACGACAAGGACCAACCTTATATAAACTTTTCTAAATATGGTATCTCAATACCATGTTTTGAGCAAAACTTTTTCACTTCCTCAAGAAATTCTTCCCAATCATCATCTCTTAGTTTGTGGAGGAGTTTTGTTGTAGTAGAAACGAATTTCATAGCGGTCAAGATGTCTTGAGATTTCCTTTGAAGGGCCTAACAAAGAACTTCGGTTATTCTCATGATGGTATGCATTAAATGCAAACTGAACATAAAATCAAAACTTTTCATATGTTTGTACCACGAACTTTGCCTCAGGATCTTCCATTTGAACAATGAACATTAAGATTTTCAAACGTTTTGGAAGTTGCATTATACATATCTATTAAGCTCTTTATAGAGTCATAATGAGAACTCCAACGAGTTGCTCCTGATCGTTGTAAATTACCTACTTGATTTGCTCCGCTTCTCGACTCACTCTCCCTAGTAGCTAACATATACTCAATTTCATTTCCTTGAGTAGATTGTAACTCCGTAATGCACTTAGGGAAAGAAGTGATAATATTGATAATATTGTCCAGATGAGAAAAGAACTCCCACATAACATCAACTTCTTTAGCTGCATAAACCAATACAAACTGTAATCGATGAGCAAAACAGTGGATGTAATACACATACGGACAATCTCTAAGAAATAATGCCTGAAGTCCATTCCGAGCGCCCTGTATATTATTAGCACCATCATATTCTTGGCTTCTCATTTTTGTCACTTCAAGTTTATGTTGAGCAAGATCATTTACATTCTCATTTTTTAAACTTGATGTGGTGACATCTATATACTATTTACAATCTCATTCTTTTTCAATTTATTAATGATATTCCACTTCAAGTTCATGTTGAGCAAGAACTTTTTGAGAAAATTACAGAAAATCGTTCCATGTGACCAACAGACAGATAAGTGGCAAGGAATATAGCTATGATTCACAACATAAATGCAGTGACAACAATGTCAACTGGGCTGGAAGTACTAAGAAAGAAGTTGGACAAACCAAGTCAAAATATGAACATGGTACACAAATCAACACCAATCTATGAGGGTTGGGATAGATCATACAACTGCAAGTTATCCATTAGCATCCATGCATGTACCAATTTGAGAAGGTCAATTATTTGCATAACTTTTAGAGACAACAAAACAATCCTTACTCCAACACTTCTATTCTAGGTTGGAGCAAGCATCTTAACTTCTTCTGAGTTAATAATCAAGGTCAAAGATGTCAGATTTAGGGCAACCCATAATGATTTCAACAACAACAATAGAAGAAGTAATCATTGGAAAAATTAATGGCCCTGTTCATTACCAAAAGCGAGATAAATTTCCAAAACCAACAAACTACAATAAAAAATTTGAAAACTCATGTGGGATCTCTCAGCTGCATTGGCCAACAAAATACAAGGTACCTACTAAGTAATATAGAAAAGAACCCACTGGAACAGGTATTAGCACTTAAAGCTGTAGATTATGCAATTATAGAGACATCATAAATCAAGTCTGCTACCCCCTGTTTGAGCTTATATTCTACCTATTCCATTTTTTCAATGGCTTTGAAGACAGCCTATAGAGGAACAAATTCAGGCCATTACAACTAGAAGTGGAGTTCGACATCCAGACATAGTAGCAAAAGAAAATGGGACATAAGAGAATCAAGTATCTACCATCGACAAAGAACAAGTAGGTCAATCTAAAAAATCAACTCAAGTTAGTCAAGAAGCCACTAAAGCAAGTACTAGAAGTTAAAGCTGTAAATTATGCAATTATAGAGATGGCATCAGTCAAGCTCGCTACCTTTGTTTGGGCTTATGTTCTATCTATTCCATTTTATCAAAAGGACTTCAAATATATCCTAAAGAGGAATAGGTTTAGGCCATTACAACTAAAAGTGGAGTTTAGCTACTAGAAATTACTATGAAAAAGAAAGGGGCAAGGAAGAATCAGGTACCTACCACAGGCAAAGAACAAGTGGGTCAGTCTGAAAAATTAGCAAGAGTTAATCAAGAAGCCACTGGAACAGGTATTAGCAGTCAAAGCTGTAAATTATGCAATTATAAAGATACCATCAATCAAGCCTGTTAACCCTTTTCGAGCTTATGTTCTGCCTATTCCATTTTCTCAAAAGACCTCGAAGATAGCTTAAAGAGAAATAGGTTCATGCCATTACAGCTAGAAGTGGAGTTCGGCTACCAGAATTTACTGTGAAAAAGAAAGGGACAAGGAATAATCAAGTACCTTCCATAGGCAAAGAACAAGTGGGTCAATCTGAAAAATCAATAAAAATAATCAAGAAGCAAATAATCAACAGGTTAAGGCAATCATTCCTATCAATAAACACACACCTCCAGTCCCATTCCTTCAAAGGTTAAGAACAATAAACTGGACAAACAATTCAAGATGTTTTTAGATGTCCTCAGAAAACTTCACATCAACATTCCTTTCGTTGACATCATTCTACAGATTTCCTATTGTACTAAATTTTTTAAAGAGATGTTGACCAAAAAGAGAAAACTGCCAGTAGATGAAACAATAACTTTGACAGAAGAGTGTAGTGCAATCATACAACATAAGTTGCATCTTCTACTAAAAGATCTAGGGCACTGCACCTAGCTCTATATGAAATTCACATGATTCAAATGCTTTAATTGATTATGGAAAAAGTATTAATTCAATGCCACTGTCTATCTACCAAAACTTGGGATTAAAAGATCCAAAAGCAACATCAATGATCCTACAACTAACTGACTGGACACTCAAGCATCATTATGGAGTAGTATAGAATATGCTCATCTTCTTTCCTGCTGATTACATCATACTTGATATAGATGCTCAGCACATGCATTAATTTTGGAAAGACTATTCTTAGCAACTACATGACCGTTAATGGGTTTTTGCGAAAGGTGATTTATTCTTAATGGTGGAAGAAAAACAACAAAACTTCACAATGAATGCTCTACTCGAGCAACCACTTGACATTGAGGAATGTCGAAAGAACGACCATTAGGAAAGAAACAAGAACAAGAAGGAAGAATGTGGAATTGTTAGACGGCATACCAATGTAAATCTTATAATCTGGAAGCTCAAAGATGAATTGAAACGATCAATGCAGCCGATGCAAGGCTGTAAACTCTCTTTTCTAACCACCATAAATAATCGAAATAACAAAGTCAAGCTAATAGCTATAAATAAGTGCGTCTCTTCTCTTTTATTTATTTTACTTTTTAGATAACAAACTAGTATTTTTATATTCTTTTTTAATATTATATGGTATTGTATCTCCATATTCTTCCTTTATTGTGTGTTTTGAGCTTATTATAAAGTATTCCACATTATGACTATTTTTTACTATTTTGAAGGAACATGATGCATGAACATATTGGACAAGAGAAAAGATATAGCAAGTGATCGAACACTTTGATGCCAATCCAACCACTACCTGAAATTTATACCAGGGAGTACTTAGTTTCTTTCTTTGCGCTTAATTTTTATATATTCCTTATTCTACTTTAAGATATTGAGGGATTTTATTTATTTATTTTTATTTTTACTTTTGTGTGCTTATGTGGGTTACATAAATTTGTCTACTATGAAGCATATATTTTGATAACGATTATAAATTATGGAAAAGTTATATGTTATGGTTGATTTATGCTTATTCGTGTGAAATTTGATATTTTTGTGCATAAGATTTATGGTTTACATCATGAAGAAATGATTTGATTCAACATTTGAATAGATTGAAAAACAAAAAGTTATTCACGTGTGGACCTTATATGCTAAATCCAAATAACCATTAAATTATATACCTTAAACCAATTTTAGGATAGTTTGGAGGTGATTGAGCTATTGTAGCGAGACATTGGGATGAATGTGGAAATCATGTGTGTTAAATTTTGTGTGAATTGACTAAGGTCAATTAGGTGAAAATCAGGTAAAAATCTCATGTTAGAGGTTGATTTTTGAGTGTGAGTGTTTAATAAAAAGTATTGTACTAGTCATTGCATGAAAAAATTCAAAAAAAAATTGTTTTATTGTGAAACTTCTCTTCGTAACATTTATGAATAAAGTAATTAAGCATGCAAGGGTATTTAAAATCAATTTCTTAAAGTCATCTAACTTGGGAGTCAACGGCCAAAAACTCGCTACAAGTGTTATACAGAAAGTTTAATGGAGATAAATCCATATATAATATGGAAAAAAAAAACTAGAAAAAGTGGTGTATAAATTAGAAGACACACTATATGCCTTGACTAAGTCGCAAACTTTTATTTTAGAAAATTAAACCTTTGACAATGGGTTATTAGCTTAGTTAATTCTTGGATGTTGAAACAATAAAAAAAAAGGAGAATCTTCATTTGTTGATGTGTTGAGCTGCAATTAATAAGATCTAACCAAACTAGAAAGGGTGGGGTTTAGTATAAAAAATAAAAATTCAACATTATATCATACCTTGGGAAAAGAGTTAAAAGGATAAGTTTGGGGCATGTATTTTATCTTACGAGAGAAGAAATGATATATTTAACCATTTAGGGTCAGGACATGAATCTCTTTATGAATTTATAATGCTTGACATGAATTTTCGAACGCACGCACCGATTTTTTAATGAATAAGTATAAATTAATTTTAACAATGTGATTTTGAAGTAGTTTATAATTTTGATGTATAAATTCCAATTTTGAGACCAAAGGCAAATTTTTTAGCCATGTATATTAAAAAAACTTTTATATTTAAGCCAATGTTTATTTTATTTGAGGACAAATAATGGTTCAAGTTTAGGGGTATTTAATAAATGTATTTTATACACATATCACGGCCATTAAATGATATTAATTGTAATAAATTTCGATGACGTACGACTTAATTATATGTTAAATTTATTTTTTAGGAAAAATATGGGATAAATTGGTGGAATTAGAAAAAATGAATGAAAAAGGGCAAAAACGAATGAAATCTAAACTTTGAGGACCAAAGTGTAAATATTGAATAGTTTATTCGGACCATAAAATGATGATTTAAGATTACATATTAACAATTAGATTCAATTGGAGGTCAAATGAGTGAAAAATAGTTGAAGTACTTCCACAAATCAATTTCCAAACCGAAAAAAGTTATGTACCAAATTTTCAGTCTTAGCTTAAGACCCATTTTTCGGATAGCAAAATTTTAAACTAAAAAATTTCTATTTCTAGAATATTTCTATCCCTTTGAATTATCTTTTTAATGCACTTTGAATCACCTCAACTGGATATTAGGAGAGAACATTATGACCAAAATATTGAAAGTTGCTTAAGAATGAACCGAAGTGAACCGGTTGTGCGGGCAATACATGGCGCATGTGGTGCCTTCTTTTCACCGACCCAAGAGCCATTTAGATCAATGGCACATGCACAATAGTTTATGCTGGTGCACATGCGGGGTCTATCTTCACAAATGAATAGCATATTCCTTTCACAATTCAAACTCTTTTCGAACCCAAATTGAACGCGAATTTTGACATATTTTCTAGCTTTTATAAATATAAAACAAGGGATACACATAGGAGGAACTCTCTCTTGCCTCTTCATACACAATAATATTGTCAAAATCATCAAGAACAAGAGTCAATTCATCATTTTGAAAGAAAAGATCAAGCCTTAACAAGGAATTGAAAACAATTACATCAAGATTTTGAAAATTTCAACCTTCAAAATTAAGAACAAGATTTCTTA